CCTCGCGGGAGGTCCTGCCGGGTTTTCTCCCCTCGGGGGGTATTCTTTCGCGAACTCCTTTCCGGCTCTCGTGGCGAATACGTTGGCGTCTTCTTCAGAGTCGGTTAAGGCAGTCATCGCCGCGTCATCTCTGTCCAGAATGGCGGAGACAACGTTGTAATGTTTCCTCTTAGCCTCCTTTGAAGGCTGTGCAGTCCACTGCTCGTCATCGAGGAGGTCCGGATGGACCCACATCACCTGCCCTGATGGCAGAGTTTGTGGAACCAAACCCTTTTTCCGCTGGTTGTGAGGATCGTCGTTAGTGATCTTCAAAACCGCCTTGGGGATAGGAATTATCCCCGCCGGAGCTTGAACCTCCGGGAGACCCGTCCCAAAGCTCAAAGTGACCATGTTCGCCGTCACTTGCTTTTGGACCTTCTCTTTCTTCAAGACCCCCGCGTCGTAGAGGGCCTGGAGTTTGTCCTTGAGGACGTAGCACTTGGTTGTGTGATGGCCAAGGAATCTGTGATATGCACAGTAACTTGGGTCACCGGTTTTGTCCACCTCCTCAGGCTTGAGGGCTTCTGGCAACTTAATTCGCCCACTCTTGAGTAGAGCGTCGAGAGTCGCCACCACCTGGTCTTCTTTGAAATCATATTGTCGCTGGGGGCGTGGCTCAAACTGCCTGGGTTTAGGCTTTTGGGCAGCCTTTGGTGCCGGGGCGGAGTCGACCGCCATGATTTCTTTTCCTCTCGACCGAGGAGGGTTCTTCGGTGCAGCTGGCTCTGCTGCTCCCTTTTTGGACTGTGGTTCTTCGGCCTCCAGTCTCTTGATCATATTTTCAACTTGCTCGCCTTGGCGAACAAGTTCCTTCCAAGTCCGGGTCTCAACTGCCCCTATTTTGGACAGGATATGGATCGACAGATTGTTGCGGCACATCTCGATCAGTGTCGCCTCGGAAACTTGGTCCCGACAGTGGACTGACCGATTTCGAAATCTCTTTACGAAGTCGTTAACTGACTCCGACTTCCGCTGCTTCTCAGCGAGGAGAGTGGCCATTGATACTTCCGTGTCGTCGTTGAAGAAGCGGGTGAGGAAGAGCTTTTTGACGTCAGCCCATGCCTTGATAGAGCCGGGCTCTAGTTTGCGGAACCATTCAAAGGCCACCCCCTTGAGGGTACCTATGAATAGTCGAGTGAGAATGGCGTCGTTCCCGGTAAGGAATCCGGTCTGCGCCATGAAGTAGTAGATGTGCTGCGAGGGTGACCCCTTGCCATCAAACTGTACCAAGCTGATTGGCTTGAATTTCGCTGGGTATGGGACTGTGTCCCATTCGATGGGGTAGGGACGTACCACCCCCAGCTTGTTCATATTTTGCTGAAGCTTCAGCGCGTTCAGCTGGTCCTGGAACTCGTCGAATCTTTTGTCACGGGTGCTATCCGCGGTGTGCGACGTTCCTATCGATGTTTTGGAGGAGTAATCGGACTGTCGATCATCCTCCGTCTCAGCCGCTGGACGGTGAGGAGGTACCCACTCCTTGTCCCTGGTTTGCCGGGGTAAGGGACGTTGGGTCCTCTTCTTCTTCTTCTTCTTGTTCAGCAGTTGCTCCATCATCTCTCTCAGAGAGTCGATGGTCGCCTGCTGTTCCTCCAGAGAAGAAAATAGAGAATTTAATTTGTATTATTCTCTCTAACAAACTTAGAAAAAGAATTAATTATAATTCTCTCGATACAAATATCTCTCTAACAAACTTAGAAAAAGAAATTACAATCTACTTGATCGATTTCCTAATTTACAAAAGAGAGAAGGGTCGATGGAGATCCTTCCCTTTGTTTAACCTGGGTTTTTTTTGGTGTCGATGAGATGCTTCCCTCGAAACTCGTGTCGAGTTTGCTTCTCATTGACGATCTGACGTTTCACCTCACTAGAAAAAAATCTATTTCTCTCGGATTTGATGTTGTGGGGAACTTGTGTGACAAGTTTAAAAAAAAATAACTCTTAACGAGTTTAAGAACTCAGAATGAGTTTAAACTCTGAAAAGTGTTAATTTAAACTAAAATTCGGTTAATAAGCTAAGTACTAAAGCTTCATAATTTCGATTGTTGAAGGATCATCTAGGATCTCTCCCATCCAGAATGTTGATCTCTAAAGATTTTCTAATGACCAAAAATCCAGCCCCGAACTCAGTTAAGTTTGTTGAGATTTATTAGGTGATTAAGGGGTATAACCGCCTCCTTTATCCGCTCCTAAGTGGGTAAAAATCCCTCAAATCGTGGGAAAAAATGGTTTTGAAATCGTTTAGCTCGTTTGAATGAGTCAAACGCAGAGACTGCATTCTAGAATAAAATCTGCGTTTGAACGCAGTGTTTGCAAGCTATGTTACTGGCTTTTGGAAGCTGCGTTGGGCAGCAGATGGAAACTGCATTGGCAGCAGTTAGAAGCTGCGTTGGAAGCATTTAAGAGCTATATTTGGCAGTGGATGGAAGCTGTGTTAGCAGTGTTTAGGAGCTGTGTTTGTAGCTGGATTGAAGTTGAGTTTGCATTGTTTTGACTCTGAACGAGGCCACTTGCGTTTTCATTTCTGGGATGCAGAGATGAGCTCTACATCTTGGACTGAAGAGATCGTTGACTTATAATCTCTTTTGTCAGAGCGTTACAAAGATTATTGTTTTGTAATCTTTACTTTAGTTCCTTGAAATGTGAGAGTTGTGAGATTATAACTCTCATTGTTGATTATGAAGACTGTTGAATCAGAGCTTTCATCGGTTGCCGTGAAGATAGTCGAATTATAACCTTTCTCGATCTACGTGAAAATCTTCTAATTGTATTCTTTACTTGTTGATATGAAAGTCATTTGATAGTAACCTTCTTTTTTGAGTTGTTAATGTAGAAGTCATCAGATTATAACTTTCATCATTGGTGTTTGATGGGGATCAACTATCTACAGCAATTTTTAGACAGCCTACAACTAGTTTTAGTTTAGGATTTTTACGACGGTCAGATGATAAATACAGCACAGGAAGAATTTTAGCTATTCGATAAAATACTGAATAGATTAAAAACTAAAGAAATTAAAGAATTGAAGGCTAGGCCTATCATGTCCAAAGTATTCCAGGCTCCTCTATAAAAGAATGAGACTGAAACACTTTGGAGCGGGTATTTGTAGGTGTAGGGTGAATATTTGATTTCCCGAAAACAGGGAGTGTTCGTTTGTATTAATAAGAAAGCTTATTACAAACTAATAATCAAATGATTACAACAGAAGCAGAGGGAATGCCCTCTTTGTTTTTGTGTGGGGACTTTAGGTGGCTACAGGATGATTCGATCGATGCTCGTGTCGAGTCTGCTTCCCTTGGACCGTTCGATCGAGGTTGCTGGAGAGCTTCAGTTCGCAGTAGAAGCTCAACTCGAGGGAGTTCGGGTTTGCTTAGTTCGTCGGCGATCGGAGCTCGGGACTAAACAGTGATGCTGCAATGCAAAGGCTATGCAGAGAGCTTGGTCTCAACTCTTTTCTCTAAGTTTGCGACCTCTCCTCCAGTGTGCTAGAAGGGGCTTTTAAATGAAAGAAGGACAGCTTGACTCATCCTTGAATTGTGGGATGTGACCACATCTTCTTCAGAGACGTCTAGCTGCTCCTCGATACCATGAATGGTCATTCCAGGGATTGTACTTTATGTCCTGTCACCTACGATGGGAAGGCCCATTCTTGTATATGAGGCAACGGCCGTCTGTTATCCGAGTGGACCTGACCGGCATTAATGAACCGCATTTATGAGTTCGCAGATCGATGAAGTGTCTGTCCGATCACTCGTACTGTGCGTGACCGCCCGGCGTGCTTTGAGCACGGTGCTTTCTCCTTTCCGGTCAGGAGAGGCGGCGAAGTAGGTGCACAGTACTCGAGTGGGTCTAGCCAACTTGCTGAGTGCCGGCGGATCTAGCTCTTGACTCAGACAGCCGAGGTGAGCCGCATTTATGAATGCTCAGGTTGACTCGACACCTGTCCAGTCCTTCGCGCTGTGCGTACTGCGAGCGGCCGTTTGACGGTCTTGGGGTACTGTGCTCTCTCCCTTCGGGTCGAGAGGGATGGGAAGGTCCATTTCAGCACGTGGGGTAGTGGATACCCAGCTGTACTGACGGTCTTGAGATTGCTGGCGGATTCGACCCTGAACTCGGGCAGGCGAGTTGAGTGAAAGGCGAACTTCCGCCATCCTGATCGATCTTAACTCGTGCTGGCGAGCCGACCGTAAGGCGAACCTAGAATCGAACATATCTGACGTCTATGCGATTTAGGCCCGTGCTAGAGAACCGAGCGTGCGAGCTCTTCTCGCAGGCGAATTTCCTGTACACCTATAGAGGTATTTTTTACCGTCTACAGACGGTCAACACCTTCCAATTCATCATCTTTTCTTAATGACGTTGGGGAATCTGGGTTTGTCGTCGATTTGTCGACCATTTTCTGCCGATTGTGACAAAACCGTAGAGTGGAGATTTGAGAATTTTGCCGGCTATTATTAACTATAGAGAGAGATAGAGAGACAGAGCGCGGTAGAGAAACATGAGAGAGATGAGGGGAGCCTTGATTTGAGTTAAGAAGTGGGCAGGCGCGATTAGCAAAACGCGGGCACTGTAGCACTGACGGTTAGGGGGTAGAATAGGGTTTCTGAAATATTTCTCTCATGCTGCTGACTTGACGGGGCTGAAACGTAATTTTATATTATATTTTGGGTTTATACACATGGCTAAAAGTACATAGGTCTGTTGCACATAACTTTTTCAGATTTGGAGCTTTGAAGCAATTTTTCCAAAAGTAAATCTCAATGCGAGAAAATGAATCCAGACCATTTATTTCGGATCCTTCCCTGTAGCCTCCGAAACCGCTCTCGCATTTTCCCCATAAAATCTAACCCCTCTCTCAACCCTCCCCTCTCTCCACTCCCACTCTCTCTCTCTCTCTCTCTCTCTCTCAGATCTCAATCTCGAAAAACCCTCCCCTCTCTCCACTCCCACTCTCTCTCTCTCTCTCTCTCTCTCTCAGATCTCAATCTCGAAAGAAACCCTAAAATGACATCGCATCTCGAAAGAAACCCTAACCCTAAAATGACATCGCCCCACTCGGAATCCAGCACCAAAAGCAACCGCGTCTTCATCACCTCGTCGGAGCTCAGCCAGCACAACACCGCCTCCGACCTCTGGATCTGCGTCCAAGGCAAAGTCTACGATGTCACTCATTGGCTCAAATCTCACCCCGGCGGCGATCTCCCTCTCCTAAACCTCGCCGGCCAGGATGCCACCGACGCATTCGTCGCCTACCACCCCGGTTCCGCAGTCTCTGAGGTCTCCACCGATTACCGCCGCCTGGTCAACGAGTTCGCGAGGCTCGGCCTCTTCGACCGCAAGGGCCACAGCGCCGCCCTCACCCTCGCGTTCATGGCCCTTCTGTTCGCGACCTCCGTCCGCCTCGTGCTCTGTTATCAGTCGTGGGCGGTCCACCTTCTCGCCGGTTTCTTGATGGGGTTTTCGTGGATTCAGTCTGGTTGGGTCGGCCATGATTCCGGCCACTACAACGTGATGCCGAGCAGGCGGTTCAATCGTTTGGTTCAGGTTGTTTCAGGCAACTGCATTGCGGGGATCAGCATCGGCTGGTGGAAGAGGAACCACAACGCCCACCACATAGCTTGCAACAGCCTTGATTTCGACCCGGACCTGCAGCACATGCCTTTTTTTGCAGTCTCGTCCAAGTTTTTCAACTCGATTACCTCTTTCTACTACGACAGGAAGCTGGTGTTTGACCCGTTGTCGAGGTTTTGCATCAGCTACCAGCACTGGACGTTTTATCCGGTAATGTGTGTTGCTAGAGTGAATCTCTTCGCTCAGTCGTTCCTCCTCCTCCTCTCGAGCAGGGTGGTGTCCGACAGGTGGCAGGAGCTCGTGGGCATAAGTGTGTTTTGGATCTGGTACCCTCTGGTTGTCTCTGTCTTACCCAACTGGGGGGAGAGAGTAATGTTTGTGCTGGCGAGTTTTGCGATTACGGGGATCCAGCACGTTCAATTCTGCCTGAACCATTTCTCCTGTGACGTTTATGTTGGGCCCCCGAGGGGGGATGATTGGTCCGAGAAGCAGACTGCGGGGACTGTGAACATTACTTGCCCATCGTGGATGGATTGGTTCCATGGAGGATTGCAGTTTCAGGTTGAGCACCATTTGTTCCCAAGGTTGCCGAGATGCAATTTGAGGAGGGTCTCGCCCATTGTTCAGCAGTATTGCAAGAAGCACAATTTGACTTATAAAAGTGTGGGCTTTCTCGATGCTAATAGGAAGACTTTGGAGGTTTTGAGGAATGCGGCGATGCAGGCTAGGGATTTGGCGAATCCCGTGCCCAAGAACTTGGTTTGGGAAGCTGTCAACACTCATGGTTGATTTAGATTTTGGATAGAGGTCCCATCCTTTTCTTTACATATATTTTTTGTTTTCTGATTTGGACATTCTTTTGCTATGTTAGATTCTTGATGTGCGAATGAAATGCGTAGCTGTTTTATTATGTAAGTTGAATCTGATAGCAATGTTCACTGTTTTGCTCAGATTATCTGGTATCTATCTATCTACTATTTGCTTTTGCTTGCATTTGCATTTATATTTACATTTCTTGCTCACTCAGATATCTGAGTATCGTTTTGAGTTCGATGTGAATGTAACTTGAATTACCTCGGATTCCATTTACGGGTTTGATCACTGAAGTTCGCAATGATCTCTATGTTTCCATCAAAAAAGGTGAATGATTTGAGGTTTCCACATTGTATTTTGTTTAGATATAACTATATATAACAATAGATGTTTGTCTCGTCTCTAAAGTAGAGTAAAAGATGCGAATCATACTCTACATCAGTTGCTGTTGTTTTATTTATTATTATTATTATTTTGATGGGTAAGTCCATGAATTTACAGTATTCAAAATGTAGTGATATACACATGTACTTATGTATGTAAATGCATGCATTTTGCATGTCAAATGAAAAAGTGGAAGCTTGGATGCAGTCTTATGTCTACGCTAGCTGATCAGTTTCCTGTTATTGTGCACGATGCATCCCGAATTTCTCTGTCTAGTTGACATTGACTTCATATGATTATCCTCACTCCAAGGAGAATGTCAGTATATGACCAAAAGAAATATGCTAAATATGTTAATGTATTCCCTCATATTCAGGCATATTTTATTTCCATAAGTCTGTCAAACATGAGGCCCTGCCTGCCTAACTGGTTAAAGAAAATACTAACACACTATTTTTTGATGAGTGCATCAAACCTACATTTAGGTCAGCCATGACTGGTGCACAAATAGATGATTTACATGCCAACATCTATACAAGTACCTTCGAAATAAAATTGTGTGTTGTACTACCAAACCTAAATATTAACCATGGAGCGTACACTTGAAACCTTATTACAACTTATTTTCTTTCATAGCCCCTTTTATATCAGTATCAATATATCCTATCTGGAGGACTATCAGCTCAAAGCATTCAGACTTACGTCCGTATTCATTCAACTTCTCCGTGAGATAAGTTTGTTAAAAAATTGCGAGAAAAATCCTCCCAAAATTCCTCTTTGGCATCAGCATGAGGGGAAAAGTTTTACAAGGTTGAGAAACTATTGAAGCAATGAGAAACAAGTTTTTTTTCCAGAGCATTCAAAAACAATTTTCTAGGATTTGTTTTTGAATGAGAGATGCAATTAAAGCTATGAGCGCGCATGTACAGCTCTGCTGAAGGATTCAGGTATGGAGTAGTTCGTTCGAGCCTTTGTAAAAAGGAGTCAGGTATAGATCAACGTGTTACAATTGATGCCTAGACTTATTTACAATAATCTTCTTCATATTGCATATTAGTACACATTTTTCCATGTTACCAAGTATTACTAATATATGATAGTGCATCATACTTTACCCTAATCAAGTTTATGCCTTATTTGAACCATAGTAGATACTAGAGGTATAATAAGCAGAGAACTTTTTTCCTCTACTGTTTTGATGTCTGAAATAATCCTCACAATATGTTGTGTATTTGTTCTTTCTTTCTTTCTTTTCTCTGCACTAGTTCCTCTTGCATTATTATTATTATTATTATTTGGTGAGAGGATCTCATACTTCTTTTAAATGTCTGAGGTAAAGCGTGTGTTAGTTGCTAATTAATTAGAGTATTATTTTTGCACTTCAGAAGATTCGGATGGTTTGAATCTGTGCAACAAAGACCCATTAGTTAGCAGTGGTAAACTGTGAATGTGACCATTTAACTCTTTCCTTTTAACTTGGTGTATTTCTTTCTTTCTTTTTTAACAGAATAATCACACTGATCAGCCTGACGATGGATGCTACTGCTCAAGTTTGTGGTTATAGTCGGTCGCTCACTGTAATTTTTCTGGTAAAATTCCAAAATCTTGGTTAGACTGTTTCTAGAGTATGAGGTGCAGAAAAAAGTAGAGCCTGGCCTATATGCTTCTTGATCGGTTGTTTGAGAGGCATGTGATCTGCTTCAAATATTGACAAGGGGCTCTCCGTTCTCCAACAAAATAATGTTTGTCCCACATGTTGGCCTGTACTGATAGAAAATATGCCTAAATTTTCCAGTTGAGGTTAGATTGAAGTTTATTATAGGAAATCGGTGATGGTGAGATTCAAGGATTATTCTGTTTCTACATAACCTTACACTCGCGTGTGTCCGCGGGATTTTATTATCAGTTCTCTTCGTTAGCAAGCTTCATTTATTTAACGAACTCATAGCTGGTCAATCAATCATTAAGTATCGGTGAAGATATTAGCTGTCCTGCTATTAAACCTCATGACCATCAGAAGAATTGGGAGGAGAAAGCTGCAATAGTTGTTGCCGAGAGTTTAATTCTAATGAGCAAGCATATCGAGTAGGTTTGTTTATTTTTGGATAAGATTCTGAAGAGAATTAAGAGGGTGGTTCAATTGTGTGCGCAAAGTATAAGCGAAAAGCACGAAAAAAGGGCATGCAGCTTGCTTCAGCTGGCTATCTCCCAGATTTTTACGTGCCCTGCGGGTGCAAGTTTTCCTGATTACTTTTCCCCCCGAGGAACTATCCATGTCCCATGTTATGTGGGGAAAAATTATGTCTGGTGTAAAATTTGACATTTCTTAAAAGAATTATTGCATGACTTAACATCCCTTAGCTTTTTTAGCGAAGTTCCTCTTCTTCTTGCTTGCTTTCAGCTTCTAGACGTAGTTAGGTGTCCAAGCGACTAGATACTTATCTTATTCAGTGATTATTTTTCAAAAAACACTACAGCCACACCCTTGGGCACACTCTTAGCCACACCCCCTCTGTTGGAATGAGGTGTGGATACCAACCTCCGCAGGTGGCGTCGACGGCGAGCTCCAGTTGACGAGGCTCGAGGTCAGACGAGGGACGAGCTTGGCAGACGAGGTCGAGGAACCAACAAGCTTCGAGCGGGCAATGTTCGAGTGGACGAGGTTCGAGTTCGAACCGACGAGCGAACAAGGCTCGAGCAGACGAACTTCGGCGGACGAGGTTCGAGCACGAGCGGTCGAGGGTCGAGCTTCGGAGGTGAGTTGCGTGTTACGCTGGCTACAGCCTATCGCCAACGTAACCCTAGGGTTTCCCTATAAAAGGGAAACCCAGAGCTCGGGTGAGGGTGCTTCTTCGCGTGGTTTTCCTTCAGCGGCGGCGGACGAAAAAATCACAGCATCGATTTTCTCTTTTCTCCCTTTTTCGGTGAATTCATTCCCGGCGCTCATAATTGGAGGGGGAATTTTAGAGAGAGAGAGGGAATTAAAAGGGGGGTTTTCTCAAGAGCATTAAATAGGGATTATTCCCTTTGGATTATTAACACTATGGCTACAGTGTTTGTATTGAGATATCTCAGTTTCAGATCTGCTCTTGTACTGTAATTTCTTGTTAATTAATAAGAAATTAATTGTGTGGCTCCCGAGGACATCAGCAGTTACTGAACCTCGTTAAACTTGGTGTACTTTTCTCTATATCGCGTTTCTGCTGTCTTAGGGGTTTCGGCGTAAAATCCCAAAAAAATGGTATCAGAGCTTAGAAACGATCTGGAGGAAGTCAGATTCAAGTGGGAGCGATGGCCGCAGATGAAGGAAATGTGAGATTAGAGAAGTTTGATGGATCAGATTTCGGATTCTGGAAAGTACAAATAGAGGATTATCTGTATCAGAAAAATCTGTATCAACCTCTCTCGGGGAAGAAGCCGGAGGGTGTGAAGGAAGAAGATTGGAATCTTCTAGATAGGAAGGCCCTCAGGGTTATTCGTTTGACGTTAACCCATAATGTTGCTTTTAACATTGCAAAAGAGAAGACTATGACGGGTCTTATGGCAGCACTCTCAAACATGTATGAGAAGCCATCAGCCTCAAATAAAGTCCATTTGATGAGGCGATTGTTCAATCTGCGAATGGCGGAAGGTGCATCGGTAGCACATCATCTCAATGAACTCAATACAGTCATGACCCAATTGAGTTCAGTTGATATTGAGTTTGATGAGGAAATTCGAGCGTTGATCCTTTTGTCTTCCATACCAGAGAGTTGGAATGCTACAGTCACAGCTGTGAGTAGCTCGTCGAGAAGCAACAAGTTAAAGTTTGACGACATTCGTGATCTGGTTCTCAGTGAAGAGATCTGACGGAGAGAGTCGGGTAAAGGTACAACCTCTTCAGTATTACATACAGAGTCAATAGGTAGAAATTCAACCAGAGAAAATGGATCAGAGGACAGGAGGTCCAGATCCAGAAATCCCAGCAGCTCGAAGGCTATCGAGTGTTGAAAGTGCGGGAAAACCGGGCACTGCAAGAATCAGTACAAGAGTGCACATAAGGAGTGGGAGGCAAAGGCAGATGCAAATGTTGCTTCCACATCAGGAGGAGATGATGCATTGATATGCTCTTTGGATGGCAGGGAGGAGTCTTGGGTGTTGGACTCTGGGGCATCGTTTCATGCTACTTCTCAGAAAGAATTCCTCGAGAAGTATATACCCGGAAACCTTGAAAATGTATACCTTGGTGACGACCAACCATGTGCCATTATTGGCAAAGGTGTGGTGAAGATTAAGCTGAATGAGTCAGTATGCGACAAGGTTTTAAATGTCGCCCGACATGTCAGACATGTCGCCCGACATATCGGTTTGAGGGCTTGACCGACACGACATGGACGTTTTCAACTCGTATGTCGGTTTTCAGGGCCAAATCGAAAATATCAGGGTCATATCGGGCATATCAGCCTATTTTTTAGCTTTGAAAAATCGGCTGATATGGTACTTTTTTAAGATCTGTTTTTTGTTATCGGGTTTGGGTTTAATGATAAATACCCAAACCTGTTTGATCCGTTCTCATGTTTAAGGGTTTCTTATGAACCCGATAGAAAGAATTTATGAACCAAAATCTATATACTATTTACTTTTTTATATGTTTAGTCTATAGAATTTATAAAGTATGCTTATATTGAATTTATGAATGCTTAGATTGCATTTAGGACATGATATTATACATATGCGCACTACCCTATGGCAATCCGATATTTAGTCAATGTCCCTCGATATATCCCCGATTTTTGCTATTCGACATGGATTTCAGC